TAAAGGAACAGCAGCAGGGGGCGTTCAGGGAGGGCCGGCAGGAGTTGGGGGTACGAAAGGCATGGCAGCAGGAGCAGGGGGGATAAAAGGGACAGCAGTGGGAGGAGGGGGGACGAAAGGCTCAGCAGTAGGAATAGTGGGAGGGGCGGCAGGAAAATCTCCAGCAGGAGTGAAAGCAAGCCCGGGTGGGGCTGTAGCGGCGAAAGGGATGGGGAATGGCGCACATACCCCCATAATTAGGAAGTAAGAGCGTGTTCCTACACCTCGTATCAGAAACACCTCGTATCAGATTCGTGTGGTGAAATGCATTTCAGTGTGTTCGACTGCGGTTGGATGCGTTTTAGTGCGGTTCGACGCGAAATTGATACGAGGTTGCCTGATAGGAACCACGCCCTAATACTGCTTAGAAATTGCCTTGATGCATCAAGAATAAGAAAGAGGAGTTCTGGATGTTGGAGGAAGGGGGGACCGTTCAGCCTTCCCCACGTCAAAGCATGAATAAAATTTGTCAGTACTTCGATTGAGCCAAAGGTGGGTAATAAATGTTTTGAATTATGATCGAGTATTCAGTGAAGTGCTGTGTTTTGGCGATTTGGAAGTTGTTTTATAGCGCGTTCGTACCATTGTTCCAAAACAATCACAAAAAATCTACATCCTGCAATTTTGCGGAAAGTTCATGATAGTGTAACCGGGTTACCAAGGATTATGTCACGCTACTGGCGGAGGTTTTAAAATCGTTACCGCGCTCGTTGCGTGTCGTCATAAAATCGTTTTTTCGGAAACCCTAATCATCCGTAGGACTCGAACCATCGCTACCGTCCATAACGGTCTCGAATGGCGGATGCATCTGGCGCACCTGATGCCGGCGGAAGAGCTCCGGGGAGGGGGCGAGGACGGGGGCGGGGGCGGGGAAGGGGGAGGGCGCGCGGGGCCTCGGCGGAGGGGGCAGAGCAAGCGGGGATAGTCGGGGGAACTCCGCGATTGGGCAGCGTATCAGATCCGATCGGACGGCTGCAAACGACAGGGGCGGCACTGGCGCAAGCGTTGAGGGTTCCGGGTTTGGGCGGAGCCAGTGGCGCAGTTTCCGCTTCCCCTTCCGCCAGGCCCGCCCCTTCCGCTTCCGCCCCTAAGGCTGAGGCTGGGGTTGGCGGTTCGGTTGCTGCAGGAGTGACAGCTTCAGCTGCAACAGGTTCAGGAGCAGGAAGTTCGGCAGCAACAGGCGCAGGAGTGGGGGACACGGCAGGAGTTCGCAAGGTAAGCAGTAGCACTTTTCTGCATGACTCGAATTTAGTAAGTATCTTTCCATAACGGGGATACATGGAACCTTTTGAGTCGACTCAAAGATGACACGAGTTTAGTAAGTATCTTTCCATAACGGAAATACATGGAACCTGCTGAGCTGAAACCGTTGGATTTGGCTTGTGGCTGCACGGCTTGTCTCTTCATCCCTCTCTATCCTTCTCTATCCGTTTCTCTCCCTCTCCATCCCTCTGCACACATCTGATTGTGTTTTTAGCCCAAGTTTGTGCCCAAGGTGCCGGCCAGACGAGCCCACAAGAAGGCAGTCAAGCCGTGAGTGCTCTAGCCGTGTGCCATGCCATGCCGTGCCATGCCATGCCATGCCGTGCCATGCCATGCCATGCCGTGCCATGCCATGCCATGCCATGCCATGCCGTGCCATGCCATGCCATGCCATGCCATGCCGTGCCATGCCGTGCCATGCCATGCCATGCCATGCCATGCGCCATGCTATGTAATGCCACGTGCGTGCTCACGTTCTAGATGTTTGTAGCTTATATGACTTTAGATGGTTATAGATGTTTGTATATGTCCGTCTAGGCAGTGATACTAACCCCACACACTACCCACACACCCCCCACACACAACCCACACACAACCCACACACACCCCACTCACAACCCCCACACACAACCCACACACAACCCACACACACCCCACACACAACCCCCACACACAACCCACACACAACCCCCACACAACCCACACACAACCCACACACAACCCCACACAACCCACACACAACCCACACACAACCCCCACACACACAGTGAGGAAGCAGCAGAGCAGGAGCGACCAGAGGAGCAGCTGCTGTGTGCTTTGTGCGTCCTAGTGCTTCTTTGCTTACCCGCCCTACACAGACCCCCTACTCTTACATTCGTCCCACTCCCCTCACAGGGAGGGAGGAAGCAGTGGAGCGGGAACTACTACCAGAGGAGCAGCTACTTGCTTTGTGTGTCTTAATGCGCACATACACCTACTCTCACATACGCCCTACTCCCACATACGCCCTACTCCCATATACGCCCTACTCCCATATACGCCCTACTCCCATATACGCCCTACTCCCATATACGCCCTACTCCCATATACGCCCTACTCCCATATACGCCCTACTCCCATATACGCCCTACTCCCATATACGCCCTACTCCCATATACGCCCTACTCCCATATACGCCCTACTCCCATATACGCCCTACTCCCATATACGCCCTACTCCCATATACGCCCTACTCCCATATACGCCCTACTCCCATATACGCCCTACTCCCATATACGCCCTACTCCCATATACGCCCTACTCCCATATACGCCCTACTCCCATATACGCCCTACTCCCATATACGCCCTACTCCCATATACGCCCTACTCCCACATACGCCCTACTCCCACATACGCCCTACTCCCACATACGCCCTACTCCCATATACGCCCTACTCCCACATACGCCCTACTCCCACATACGCCCTACTCCCACATACGCCCTACTCCCACATACGCCCTACTCCCACATACGCCCTACTCCCCTAGCGCACTCAAGGAGGAAGCAGCGGAGCAGGAGCTACCAGAGGAGTCGCTCTGTGCTTTTTACATCTCAATCATTATTCCGCACACACTCTCCCCCACACACACCCCACCCCACCCTCCCCGCACACACAGAGAGGAAGGAGCGGAGCCGGAACTACCAGAAGAGCTGCGAAAGATTCTCCTGGTTAGTCCTCATCCCCCAATAAATTTTAAAACCGAACCTGCCTCCAATCCTCCCCTCCAATCCTCCCTCCCCTCCAATCCTCCCTTCCCACCAACCTCCTGTCCTTTATTTCAATCCGCACACCTATCCCTGCTGGTTTCTCACACCCCTCCTGTCCTTTATTGGAGTATAAAACTGTCTTTTCCCCTGCTAGTTTCTCACGAACACTCTCACTCGCCCACACTCACTCTCCCCAACTCTCCTTCCCTCACTCTTGCTCGCTCCCCCTTTCTCCTCACTCTCCCCGCCTCACTCTTCATCTCTCTTCTTCACTCTCTCCCCCCTCGTCCCCGCGACTGCAGCAATCACAAGCCGATTCATCCAATGCACCCAAACGAGCCTTTCAAGGTGCGAATAAACACATGTCCGAATGTGATCATGTGAGAGTTTGATAATGTGAGAATGTGAGAATGTGAGATCGTGAGAGTTTGTGGGAATGGCATGGCAAAAGCAGCAGCAGCAGCAGCTCCCATTCATTCCTTCTCATCCTGTTCCTTCTCCTTTCTCTCTCTTCTCTCGTCCTCTTCCGCTCTCTCCCCTTCAGGTGCTGCGGTGCGGGTTGCCTTTGGCTTTGGTGCATCAGCAGCAGCACCGGGGATGGGGGTGGGGCCTCCCTCTATGGGCAAAGGGGGCAGCGGCAGCAGTTTTGGCGATGGGGGTGGTGGTTGGGGAGGAGGTGGGGGGGGAGGGGGAGGAGGGGGAGGAGGGGGAGGGGGAGGGGGAGGGGGAGGGGGAGGAGGAGGAGGAGGAGGAGGAGGAGGAGGAGGAGGAGGAGGAGGAGGAGGAGGGGGAGGGGAAGGCGGAGTGAAAGAGGAGGGAGGGGTGAGAGTGAAAGCAGAGGGGATGACTGTGGATGGTGCAGGGATGATGAACGAGTTTGCTGCTCCTGGTAAGTGAAATGGGGGTTTGAGATGGTTGAGAAGCCTTGGCATATGAGGGAGGGATGGAAATGATGGCAGAGAGGGCGAGAGCGGATGGTGCAGGGATAATGGACGAGGTGAACGAGGTGAACGAGGTGAGTGAAAAGTCAGTCGACTCAAAAGTCACCTCGGGATGATGAACGACTTCCCTGCGCCTGGTGGGTGAGGTGCCGTTTCCAATTGTCCACCATTTCCATATGTCCACCGTTTCCAAATGTCCACCGTTTCCAAATGTCCACCGTTTCCAAATGTCCACCGTTTCCAACTGTCCCAAAACCTTTGAACAGCAGGGGGGGGGTGAGGATGAAAGCAGAGGGGATGAGCGTGGATGGTGCAGGGATTGCAAACGACTTCCCTGCGCCGGGTGGGTGATAGTGTGGGTGAGAGTGGGTGAGAGTGGGTGAGAGTGTGTTTTGAGATGTCCGAGAACCTTGAGAGAGGAGGGAGGGGTGAGTGTGAGGCAGAGAGGATGACCGTGGATGGTGCGATGGGTTGCGTACCCCAGTAGGAAACAAAGGACGGGCACGGCGTGTGCTTGTCTTGTCATTCAAGTCCGCTGGGCTAGTCCTTTGCTGTCTACTAGTCCGTTTCCTGCTGGGTGACAGCAGGGGGGAAAGGAGTTGTTCCTCTGCACGCAGTTAAACCGTCTTTTGGATTTCTGAAATAATGCACACAGTTTAACCATTTCTGTTTCGATCAATACAAGCGACCCAACGATTGCCCCATCTCCCCCCTCTTCTCCCCTTCCACTTGCCCTGCTTCCCTTCCCCCATTCTTCTTCCCCCGTTTCCTCCTCCACTCCCCGCCCCTTCCCCCTCCTCCTCCTCTCCATCCGCTTACTGCCGTAACAACTTGTGCCAGAGGGCTCGTTCAGATTGGATGAGAAGAAGGCAAAGAAGAGAGACGTGGTGAGTGACGTGGCTTGAGAACAAAATGACGTGGAATGAAAAGGGAGTGACGTGGATTGAAAACAGAATGACATTGATTGAAGAGGGAGTGACATGCAATGAAAAGAGAGTGACATGGATCATGAAAAGGGCGAAGTGGCTTCAAGTCCCCTTTCAGAAGTTGAAACGCAGAGTCTCTCTGTGGTCAACTTGCGGGCAATAGAGGCCTACTTGGTACCCCTTTGTGCTCTCCGTGCAATCAATCACTCGAGCTCTTCTCACATGTGTGTATGCATGCATACATTTTACTTGCCGGTATGTATCATGCTTGCGTGAATGTGTGTATGCATGCATACTGGCATACTATTCTTGACCCGCATCTCCATCTGAAAACAGGACTACAGCCGCTACTACCCCACAACGCTTCCTCTGCGCCCCCCAAACTCCGGGCCTCCCGGTAAGCGCCCCCCAAACTCCGGGCCCCAAGCATTATCGAGCTTGATTGATCGATACTCGATGTTTAATGTGCCACAGAAACAGTGGTTTATAGGCCTTCACAGACCTGTACTCAGGTAGATGTTCTATCCAGTTATTGGCCTAGATGCTAGAGGTGCAGATTCTTCTCACTCCCTCTCCCTCGTTCCCCCGCATCCCACTTTCCCTCATTCCCGCATTCAGTGCTTCCTGCATCCCCTTGCTCTCTCATTTGCCGTCATTCTCCTCAGACCTGCTAAACGAGACTGAGTTTGGAGAGGAGGCTCTCTCCCGCCCTTTCAACAAAGCCGCTGTGCCTCCAGCCACACAGCTGTCTCTAGCTAGCCGTCACCGGTGCTGCTTCTTGTTCCCTCATTCCCGCATTCCTCTTCCGTCATTCCCCTCTCCCCTCCCCAGACCTTCTAAACGCGGCTGAGTTTGGAGAGGAGGCGCTGTCCCGGCCTTTCAACGAAGCAGCTGTGCCTCCACCCATCAAACTTTGTCTAGCTAGTGCTTACCGGCGCTGCTACTTCTTTTCTCCTTCATTCCCTCATTCCCTGTTCCCCCACACCCCATCTCCCCTCTCCCCAGACCTGCTAAACGAGGCTGAGTTTGGAGAGGAGGCTCTGTCCCGTCCTTTCAACGAAGCTGCTGTGCCTCCAGCCAAAGAACTCGGCTTAAACCCCCTGCTGCTGCTAACGCTGCTTCTTCTCTTGATGACCGGATGATCTTTTTCCAGCTGCCCGCCGCGCTGCCCGTGCGCCGGGAGCGGGCAGCTGAGCTGGCGCCGGGCGAACCTGGGCCGTTGGATGAGCTTTCGTCGCTGCCCGAGGGGCGGATCGGGAAGATTCTGGTGTATGATGACGGGAGTGTGAAGATGAGGCTTGGCGACACATTATTCGATGTGAGTATCCTGATTCGTACTAAGGCTTCTGAGTCTTTGCAAAAGCCTGCGAGATTCTGGTGCATGATGATGGGAGCGTGAAGATGAGGCTGACACGCTATTCGATGTGAGTGGACTTTGATCATTCGATGTGAGTGATCTGCGATCATTTTACCGTATCATACTCGAAAGCAGCCTGCGAGATTATGGGTTTTGAGTCCCCTCAAAAGCCTGTTACATTCTGGTGTATGATGATGGGAGCCTGAAGATGAGGCTCGGAGAGGCGCTATTTGATGTGTTGTGTTGGGTGCCATTTCTTGCATTCACTCCTTCCCTTTGCCTCTTCTCCAACCCTCCCATTTTCAATTTGCACCATCACCAGCTCCTAGCTGCTTCGCCCTGCATATTTCACCAGGAGCTAGCGGCTGTGAGTGCCACATCTGGCATGTGCCGAACCTGTACAAACCCAACCCCTCCCTTCTCCCTCCCCGCTCTCCTCCTTCCCCCTCCCCCTTTCCCCCCATCACCAGCTCCTAGCCGGTTCGCCCTGCATATTCCACCAGGAGCTAGCGGCTGTGAATGCCGCATCGGGCATGTGCCATTTCCTAGGGGACGTGAGGCAGCGGGCTGTTGTGGTGCCGGATATAGACTCGTTGCTACAGTGAAATAGCTATGGTAATGTCGGTACACTGATGTTTCAACAGTACGGTATTCATTTGTTGATCGTTGCGTGAAATCAGTTCATCTCATCTCTGACACCTGCCATAATGCCATGCCATGCCATGCCATGCCATGCCATGCCATGCCATGCTATGCCCTTCACCATGTGTCACTCCACCACACTACTCATTAGTTGATCGCCGTGTGTAAAGAGCTCATATCATCACTTGCACCTGCCATGCCATGCCATGCCATCCTTAGGGGATGTGATGTGAGTCATAGGGATGCTGTGGTGCTGTTTTGGGATGACACAAAACACACCTGTTTCCACAGTACACTATCTATTCGTTGACAGTGGTGTATAATCAGTACATCTCATCTCATCTGCCAAATGCATTGATTCCATCCATGCCATACCATTTTTAGGGGATGAGGTTCAATGGGGCAACAAACCAACTACCTATCCCAATGACGCCTAGTCTTCCAACTATCAAACTATTAATACCATATATCGGATTCATCTGGTTTTCTCCCCACAGTTATTAAGGAGGCAACAAATCACCTATCCCAAACTACGATGCCCATTCTTCCAATCAACTATCAATATCAAGCTTATCGGGCTTTCTCCCACGGCCACTTGGGGCGGCATTTAATCACTGTACCGCTTGAGCCTATAACGGGGACAAGGGGCCACTGGCACTCGCACTTGTAGCCCACACAGGACAGGTGCGGCTTGCAAGAGGACATGGCGGGGCAGCGGTGGTCGGCACAACTTGATTTCTTCTCACACTCTGGAAAGGATGAGGAAGGGGGGGGGGGAGGGCAGGGCAAGGAGAAGAGAAGGGTAGATGAGAAGCGAAGGCACGACAGTTGCGGCTTGCACGAGGACATGGGGGGCAGCAGTGGTCGGCACAACTTGATTTCTTCTCACACTCTGGAGAGGGGAGGTACGATGGTGGGGAGGGACGGAAACGAGAGAGGCAGGTAGCTGAGAAGCCCACACAGGACAGGTGCGGCTTGCAGGACATGGCGGGGCAGCGATGGTCGGCACTCTGGAGAGAATGGGAAGGAATGGGGTGGGGGGAGGGGAGGGTGGGGGAGAGACAGATTGACAAAATAAGGCACGACAGGTGCGGTTTGCAGGTGGACATGGCAGGGCAGCGGTGGTTGGTGCAACTTGATTTCTTCTCACACTCTGGAAGAGGGAAGGAAAGGGAGGAGGGAAATGACAGGGGTGGAAGAAAGGTTGAGAATACAAGGGACAGGTGCGTTTTGCAGAAGGACATGGCGAGGCAGCGATGATCCACGCAACTTGCTTTCTTCTCACACTCTGATGGACGAGGAAAATGGGGTGGAAGAGGAACGGGGGGGAGACCGATTGAAGAGTTAAATGGGGTGGGGTGAGCAGGTGCAGCTTCCCACCCTTTCTTTCCACCCCACTCACCGCACATGTCGGTGTCTGTAAGAAGCATGCGAGAAGCACACATGACATTGCACTCACCAGAAGCACACATGGCATTGCACTCACCAGAAGCACACATGACATTGCACTCACCAGAAGCACACATGGCATTGCACTCACCAGAAGCACACATGGCATTGCACTCACCAGAAGCACACATGGCATTGCACTCACCAGAAGCACACATGGCATTGCACTCACCAGAAGCACACATGGCATTGCACTCACCAGAAGCACACATGGCATTGCACTCACCAGAAGCACACATGGCATTGCACTCACCAGAAGCACACATGGCATTGCACTCACCAGAAGCACACATGGCATTGCACTCACCAGAAGCACACATGGCATTGCACTCACCAGAAGCACACATGGCATTGCACTCACCAGAAGCACACATGGCATTGCACTCACCAGAAGCACACATGGCATTGCACTCACCAGAAGCACACATGGCATTGCACTCACCAGAAGCACACATGGCATTGCACTCACCACAAGCACACATGGCATTGCACTCACCAGAAGCACACATGGCATTGCACTCACCAGAAGCACACATGGCATTGCACTCACCAGAAGCACACATGGCATTGCACTCACCAGAAGCACACATGGCATTGCACTCACCAGAAGCACACATGGCATTGCACTCACCAGAAGCACACATGGCATTGCACTCACCAGAAGCACACATGGCATTGCACTCACCAGAAGCACACATGGCATTGCACTCACCAGAAGCACACATGGCATTGCACTCACCAGAAGCACACATGGCATTGCACTCACCAGAAGCACACATGGCATTGCACTCACCAGAAGCACACATGGCATTGCACTCACCAGAAGCACACATGGCATTGCACTCACCAGAAGCACACATGTCATTGCACTCACCAGAAGCACACATGGCATTGCACTCACCAGAAGCACACATGGCATTGCACTCACCAGAAGCACACATGACATTGCACTCACCAGAAGCACACATGGCATTGCACTCACCAGAAGCACACATGGCATTGCACTCACCAGAAGCACACATGGCATTGCACTCACCAGAAGCACACATGGCATTGCACTCACCAGAAGCACACATGGCATTGCACTCACCAGAAGCACACATGGCATTGCACTCACCAGAAGCACACATGACATTGCACTCACCAGAAGCACACATGGCATTGCACTCACCAGAAGCACACATGGCATTGCACTCACCAGAAGCACACATGGCATTGCACTCACCAGAAGCACACATGGCATTGCACTCACCAGAAGCACACATGGCATTGCACTCACCAGAAGCACACATGACATTGCACTCACCAGAAGCACACATGGCATTGCACTCACCAGAAGCACACATGTCATTGCACTCACCAGAAGCACACATGACATTGCACTCACCAGAAGCACACATGGCATTGCACTCACCAGAAGCACACATGGCATTGCACTCACCAGAAGCACACATGGCATTGCACTCACCAGAAGCACACATGGCATTGCACTCACCAGAAGCACACATGGCATTGCACTCACCAGAAGCACACATGGCATTGCACTCACCAGAAGCACACATGGCATTGCACTCACCACAAGCACACATGGCATTGCACTCACCAGAAGCACACATGGCATTGCACTCACCAGAAGCACACATGGCATTGCACTCACCAGAAGCACACATGGCATTGCACTCACCACAAGCACACATGGCATTGCACTCACCAGAAGCACACATGGCATTGCACTCACCAGAAGCACACATGGCATTGCACTCACCAGAAGCACACATGGCATTGCACTCACCAGAAGCACACATGGCATTGCACTCACCAGAAGCACACATGGCATTGCACTCACCAGAAGCACACATGGCATTGCACTCACCAGAAGCACACATGGCATTGCCCTCACCAGAAGCACACATGGCATTGCACTCACCAGAAGCACACATGGCATTGCACTCACCAGAAGCACACATGACATTGCACTCACCAGAAGCACACATGGCATTGCACTCACCAGAAGCACACATGTCATTGCACTCACCAGAAGCACACATGACATTGCACTCACCAGAAGCACACATGGCATTGCACTCACCAGAAGCACACATGGCATTGCACTCACCAGAAGCACACATGGCATTGCACTCACCAGAAGCACACATGGCATTGCACTCACCAGAAGCACACATGGCATTGCACTCACCAGAAGCACACATGGCATTGCACTCACCAGAAGCACACATGGCATTGCACTCACCAGAAGCACACATGGCATTGCACTCACCAGAAGCACACATGGCATTGCACTCACCAGAAGCACACATGGCATTCCACTCACCAGAAGCACACATGGCATTGCACTCACCAGAAGCACACATGGCATTGCACTCACCAGAAGCACACATGGCATTGCACTCACCAGAAGCACACATGGCATTGCACTCACCAGAAGCACACATGGCATTGCACTCACCAGAAGCACACATGGCATTGCACTCACCAGAAGCACACATGGCATTGCACTCACCAGAAGCACACATGGCATTGCACTCACCAGAAGCACACATGGCATTGCACTCACCAGAAGCACACATGGCATTGCACTCACCAGAAGCACACATGGCATTGCACTCACCAGAAGCACACATGGCATTGCACTCACCACAAGCACACATGGCATTGCACTCACCAGAAGCACACATGGCATTGCACTCACCAGAAGCACACATGGCATTGCACTCACCAGAAGCACACATGGCATTGCACTCACCAGAAGCACACATGGCATTGCACTCACCAGAAGCACACATGGCATTGCACTCACCAGAAGCACACATGGCATTGCACTCACCAGAAGCACACATGGCATTGCACTCACCAGAAGCACACATGGCATTGCAGTCACCAGAAGCACACATGGCATTGCACTCACCAGAAGCACACATGGCATTGCACTCACCAGAAGCACACATGGCATTGCACTCACCAGAAGCACACATGGCATTGCACTCACCAGAAGCACACATGGCATTGCACTCACCAGAAGCACACACGTCATTGTCATTCAAGTGCGCCCCAGCAGCGCACATGCAGGCACTGGCCGTAGCACCACCTTCCACCCCACCCACACGCTCAGCAGGTATATCACTCACCGCACACGTCATTGTCATTCAAGTGCGCCCCAGCAGCGCACATGCACGTCCACTGGGTAGCAGGTAGTAAGGAGGCTGAAACATCCCCAGGGGAGTCGTCCACACTGGGCTGGCACCGCCCGTAGCCCCCACAGGGCGTCAGGAAGGGCACTGCTGAGTAGACCGATGATGGTTTCGAAAAGGAAGAGGAGGAAAAAACGGTGGTGGTGGTGTTGGCAGGTTTGAGAGCGGTTGGAGAGGCGGATGCAGCGGTGCGAGGGATAGAACGAGCGGCAGCAGCAGCAGCAGCAGCAGTAGTGGCAGCAGCGGTGGCTATGAGGGCAGCTGGGTCCCTTGGAGAAAGGGCGGCACCAGCAGCAGCAGTGCCGGAAGCTGCAGCACCGGCAGTACGGGAAGCGGTAGCAGCGGCAGTACAGGAAGCAGTAGCAGTGGTAGTACGGGAAGCGGTAGCAGTGGCAGCAGTACGGGAAGCAGCTGCAGTGGCAGCAGTACGGGAAGTAGTGGCGGCAGCAGTAGAGGTGCGGGAAGCAGCTGTAGCAGCAGTACCAGCCGTAGCACCCACCTCTGCTCCCCCACACTGTGCCAGGCAGCGGGAGGGCGTGCGCTGAGGGTAACTAGTGCACTTCGCCCCGGGGTTAGCGAAGCAATTACCCACTGTGTTGCAAGACATGGTGAAGGGAAAATGGCCGCGGAGAAAGTTGTGGGAGATCGAGAGAACAGAGAGGGTCTTGGACTTTTTGGGTGGGAGGGTTCCCGTTAGGAAGTTGCGCGATAAGAGGCTGGTGGGGGGGGGGAGAAGAGGGGTAGAGGGAGGGGACCGAAAGAGCATGGCACGGTGAAGGGGGAAGCGGCCGCGGATAAAGTTGTGGGAGATTGAGAGGGTAGAGAGGGTCTTGGATTTCTTGGGTGGGAGAGTACCGGTTAGGAAGTTGCGCGATAGGAGGCTGGTGGGGGCGAGATGGGGGTGTAGGGATGTGGGGGAAAGAAAGAGGAGGGGAGGGGAGAGAGGGGAGGAACGTGAGAAAAAAAAATCTGTGGGAGATTGGACATCTAGAGAGGGACTTGGATTTTTCAAGATGCGATGGGAGTATTCTGGTGAGGATATTGTGCTATAGGAAGGTGGAGAGGGAAGGAATCCCAGCTTCTGCAGCTTGGGCCGCATTAGCAGGTAGGAAGGTACAGAGGGATGGCATGGAGGGGGGGTATAGCTTCTGCACTCACAGCTTCTGCAGCCTGGGCTTCATTAGCAGGTAGGACGGTATAGAACCCCAGAGCTTGTTGTTGCTCAGACTCCTGGCGAGCGGGAAGAGGGGGAGGGGGAGGTGAAGGGGGAGGGGAGGTGAAGGGGGGGGGGGAGGTGAAGGGGGAGGGGGAGGTGAAGGGGAGGAGACATGAGGAAGAGAGGAAAGCTACGAGTCAAAGCAGCAGCAGCAGGTAGGAGGGCGCAGAGCCCCAGAGCTTGTTGTTCAGACTCCTGGTGACGGGGAAGAGGTGGGGGGGGACGGAGGCACGAACGAATAAGGAGGAGAAGATGAGTACGAGTCAAACCCTCTGCAGCAGGTAAGAGGGCGCAGAGCCCCAGAGCTTGTTGTTGTTCAGACTCCTGGTGACGGGGAAGGGGAAGGGGGAGGCGAGGGAGTGGGGAGAGGGAAGGAGACATTAACAAATGAGGAAAAGAGGAACAGCAGCAGGTAGGAGGGCGCAGAGCCCCAGAGCTTGTTGTTGTTCAGAATCCTGGTAGGGGGAGGTGAGACGCGGGGCGAGGGAGGGGGGGAAGGGGGGAGGAAGGAGGAGGAATGGGGAAGGGGGTTAGAGCTTGTTACTGTTCAGAATCCTGTCCAGGCGCGGAAAGGTTGGACGGAGAGATGGGAGAGAGGAGAGAGGAGGGGGGCGTTTGGAGAGGGGGGCGTTTGGAGAGGGGGGGCGTTTGGAGAGGGGGGGGGGGTGTTTGGAGAGAGGGGGGGAGGGGGGGGGTTTGGAGAGGGGGGGGGGGGGGGTCCGGGGAAAGGGGGGGAGACATGAGAGGAATAGGGACGAGGAAGGGGGACGAGAGGAGAGGGGAGAGGGAAGAGAGAAGAGAAGAGGGGAGAGGGGAGAGGGGGAGTAAGGAGTGACATGAGGACAGAGCCACACTCACAGAACGCGGAGGTTGGGGAGGTGCAGCAAGGGCCGCGCGAATTGGTCGAGCGATGCGTTGAGGCGGTTGGAAGAGAGATCGCTGTGGGGGTAGGGGGTGGGGGGGGGAAGGAGAAAGGGGAAACCGATGGGAGGGAGGTGCAGCAGGGACCAGGTGAATTGGTCGAGCGATGCGGTGAGGCGGAGAGATCGCTGAGGGGGAAAGGGGGGTCGATAGGGGGAAGAGGGCCACGGGGAAGAGACAGATGGGAGGTGCAGCAAGGGCCGCGCGAACTGGTCAAGAGATGCGTTGAGCCGATTGGAGGAGAGATCGCTGTGGGGGAGGAGGGGGGGGAGGGGGAGGGGGGGGGGGGGGGGAACGCGGGGGAAGATGGGAGAGGAGAAAAAGGGGAACAGATGGGAGGTGCAGCAAGGACCGGGCGAACTGGTCAAGAGATGCGTTGAGGCGATTGGAAGAAAGATCGCTGTGGGGAGAGAGTGGAGGAAGTGTGGGGGAGAGACGGGGGAGAAAGGGGGAAGTGAAGGAGAGACGGGGGGGGGGGGAAGGGGGAGAGAGGGGTAGGGACGGGGAGGAGAGAGGGGGAGGAGGCGGGGGAGTAGAGAAGAGGGGCCGATGAGAGAAGGAGCAAGGGCCAAAAAATTGACTGTAAGGGCAGGATGAGGCGGATGGAGGAGAGAGGAGGTTGATTGAGGAAAGGGGAGGAAAGCAGGATGGATGGAGGGGCGAGAAAGGTGACAGATACGTGAGGGGAGCAGAGAACGCACAGCAAGGTTAGGGCATAGCGGCAAGAGACAGAGAGCACGTACAGATAGGTGAGGGTTTTGAGCTTGGTGAAGCTGTTGGGGAGCAGACCTGGTGTAATCATCGTGTTGTAAGCCGTGCTGCACTCACATCACACAATGACAGGGGTGAAATACATTCAGTTGATCAGAACCGTTTGATCAGGGGTGAAATACATTCAGTTGATCAGAACCGTTTGATCAGGGGTGAAATACATTCAGTTGATCAGAACCGTTTGATCAGGGGTGAAATACATTCAGTTGATCAGAACCGTTTGATCAGGGGTGAAATACATTCAGTTGATCAGAACCGTTTGATCAGGCGTGAAATACATTCAGTGCACATCAACGGCACTGATCCAGAACCGCCCTCGGAGACCCGGCCTGATCATCACATTGTAAGGAGTGGGAGCAGTGTTAACATTCACCAAGTTCAGGAACAAGGTCAGAGTATCGTCCGAGGAGACCTGGGGTTGTGGCATGAGCAAAAGAGATCGAACCTTGCGAGCCGTTGAACCAATTCGAATCGGACCGGGGACAGAAAAAATAAAGAGTCCGTGTTATAAGCCAGCCCCTTACGCGGAGACGACGTTCCCCTTGGTGTCGCACTCGACGCCTATCCACGCGCTACACACGACCTTCCCGTTGGTCCGCCACCATTATATCCCGTCTGCATCAGGTCTAATATCGCCGTTACAAGATATTCCCGCTATAAGCCAGCCCCTTACACAGAGACGACGTTCCCCTTGGTGTCGCACTCGACGCCTATTCACGCGCCGTACACGACCTTCCCGTTGGTGCGCCACCACTGCATGCCAGCGTGCGCACATCTAATATCCCCGTTACAAGCTGTCCCATTACGAGCCCCTTACATGGAGACGGCGTTCCCTTGGGTGTCGCATTCGACGCCTATCCACGCGCCGCAGACCACCTTCCCGTTGGTGCGCCACCACTGCATGCCCGTCTGAATCAGGTCTAATATCCCCGTTACAGGCTATCCCCGTTACAAGCCATCTCCGTTATAAGCAATCTCCTTATACGGAAACGACGTTCCCCTTGGTGTCGCACTCGACGCCTATCCACGCGCCGCAGACGACCTTCCCGTTCGTGCGCCACCAGTGCATCCCCAATCTACTATCCCCGTTACAAGCTAGCCCTATCCCCGTTATAAGCTCCTTACACAGAAACGACATTCCCCTTGGTGTCGCATTCGACGCCTATCCACGCGCCGCAGACCACCTTCCCGTTGGTGCGCCACCACTGCATCCCCGTCACTCCCAGCGCCACGCGCATCTCTATCAGCGCCATCACTGGGGCAAGGGGAGGGAGGGGGGAGAAAGAGAGGAAGGCTTGAGAGGTCTTAGTTGCGCCACCACTGCATGCCCGTCACTCCCAGCGCCACGCGCATCTCTATCAGCGCCAGTACTGGCGGAAGAGGGGTGAGGGGGGGGGGAGGGGGGAGGTGGAGGAGAGAGCGGGGTGAATAAAGGTTTGAGACGCCTCGTCCGTGCGCCACCACTGCATGCCCGTCACTCCCAGCGCCACGCGCATCTCTATCAGCGCCGCCACTGGAAGAGGCGGGACGGGAAGGAGGGGAGAAAGGAAACCAGAAGACCGGGGTTTGGCTCGTCCCATTGGTTTTTCGAATTTACGATTTTTTTTTTTTTTTTTTTTTCGGATTCCCGGACTATTTTAGAGATATTGCTCAAAGCGGTTAGCACGGGTGGAAGAGCCGTTGAATTGACACAAGAGTAGTGCCTTGGTCTTGGCCGCAAGTTCCGCAAGTCTGCTATTGTCCGGAACTTGCGTCCGTGGGCGCTATTCACGGCGGGAATAGACCGACGGTTTTATCCGATTCGAAACTTTTACCCGACGTTGTTCACGTCAACGGCTAGCACGGGCGAACCCGACGTTTCCCGTCGACTCAAAGCAAAGCACAATAAATGTAGAGTCTGAGCTTTTCACGACCCGGGGCCTTACCATGGGCTTGGTTCATGTCAACGGCTAGCACGGGCGGAGCGGGCGACGCGGCCAGCAGCAGCAGCAGGACCGGCTGCAGCAGCAGCGAGGAATACGGCCGGCGAAACGACCCGGAGCAGGGCCGCCGCACGACGCCTGCAGCTCCTTGCCGAACCGCCGAGCCTGACATGCCCGAGGCTGAGCCTATTTCCGAGCCTGACCCGAGCCTGACTCCAAGCCTGAGCTTATCTCGGAGTCTGAAATTGAGAAGGGTGGAGAGCATGTGCTAGTCGTGCCTTGCGACTCGGATAGCCAAGGACTTCGTTGGTCGACGTCGTCTCCCGCCGCCGTCGTGTCGCGCACATATGAACAGCACGGTTCCGAGTCGCCTCCTGAATTTACCAGTCTGCTGCAGTTGCTGGTGCTGTCGCGAACATGTCTTAGTTCGCACCCTCTGCTGCTGGTTACCGCCGATCGTCTTGCGCCATCGTCAACGGTCATTCTGTACCCTATTTCTAAAATGTTATACCGAGAGAGTAAGTGAGCTAGGGTATCCAGGTTACGAAGCTAGGGTATCGAGGTTACGAAGCTAGGATGTTTGCCTCTGCTAGGACGAAGCTAGGGTATCCTGCACGGCCGCCTCGAAAAATGTGACAATGGGTGGTAATCCAACGAGGTCGACGTGGCAAATACAACTCTGGAGAAAAGATACTCAAAAGGGATACTCTCGGATAAGGTACTGCACTGCGGACTGGGCAAGAGAGTGTCTGACCCGTCCTGGTCGAAGGTCGAAGTGAAGTTGACAGTAACAAATGCTCGCGTAGAGATGGTCAGCATAGTAGACCTAGTGATTTACAGGCATTCGAGAGGCGATATGCTAGCGTCCTAGGTCTTTCGTCCCGTCTACAGCAACCGCACCGCGCGGCACGCCACGGAGTCCGAGTCGGGACGGCGAGGAAAAAAAAAAGGGAACTTGGACGGTATTTTGGCAACTAGAAAGATTTTCGCGTGAGCTCACGATGGGATGGCTCGCGGCGCTTCCTACTCGTTATCTCGTTCTTCTCCCTGCCTCCCATGCTTGTTGCTTCAAGTCACGCTGGAGCTGGCTTTCATATCGCCTCTCAAGGTGATGGAGAAATCTGAGCCGTTCCTTGTTTCCAGGCCGCAAGAGCGGTGGGACATTTCCAAGGTGGTCCCGAACAGACGGACGGGACGCTGACCGTCGCAAAGAGTTGCCGGCTACAGTACAAGACACAAATTTTGCGAGAAGGGCAGAACTGGAATTGTGGATACTTGACGGTCTGAAGATTCTAGGCACTGGTTGGCCGCTGACCGTCTATAATTTGACGGAGAACCTATTGGCGACCCTCTGGACGTCATTATGGTCGACATCCTTTCCTGGACAACGGACCGCGAGGACTTTCTCGACTGGCTAGTGGGGCGAAGGAGGAACTGGGGTGGGAGTTGGGAGGAAAAGAGGGTTTGGGAGGAGCAGCGGGGAATACGCAGGTTTTCGGCCGCCAGGTTTCTGAGGTCGCGGTCAGTCGGTTTTTGGGCGAAAGGAGGCGGAGTGGCGGCTTGCTCTGACTCCACGGAGTTTCTTGTGATCAAAAGCGGCGGACGTGCTTCCGATGCGACTGGGATCAGCGATGACGGCCGCCTTTCGCACGGTGGCTACAATTCAATAAAGTTCGGCCTGACGACGATTTGCGATTATCATTTTCGACCTCATGTAGTTACCATCCGTCAGAATTACTGTACACGTACAGTAACGCAGCACCGTCGCAGCCTCATGTTTCCGTTTCGTGATCCGAAGCTGGTCCACCGACAACCACCGTCTAGCACCACAGTTTTTTTTCGCCCCGTCTCTCGTCCGCGCAAAGCAAAGTGGGCTTGTCGTGCTGGACAACAATATATGTTATACACAACTCGTTTCATCACTTCACGATGATAATAAAGAATCAAGCTTGTACTGGGGACACACCAGGTCCACTCCCGCCAAGTCTGATGCTTGTGGTGACGGGATATAAGGGCGCGTCCCCTCCCTCGATCGATCGCGAGATCGCTGTGGAAAACCGATCGGGCACACCGATCTCAGGGTTGGGGCGGGGGGTTGGTAGGAGGTGACACTCGCGGATCGATCACGAGCCCTGGGTGACAGGTTCGAAAATTTTAGGGGGAAAAACTCTCGATCGTACGAAAGCCGAGATCGGTGTGGCCAGGAAGGCACATCGATCGTCATCAGCGGAGGTGACAAGATCGTTGAGCGCCAATTACTGTACACTCGCAAGCCTTCTCGAAATTAGGTTACCCTGTTAATTGCGACACTGTACCGTCCCTCGATCGATCGAGGGCACGATCGATCGAGGGGGGGACGCGCCCTGATCTAGAACAACCTGGTCATCAGCTGGCAGTTGCTCGAACATCAGCCTGGCGGCGTTCCGGTTTCGCAAGCAAAGGCAACAAGATTTTAGCAAAAAGACCAAGTCGTTCGCAGGTGGCAAAAATAGATGCTTCACTAACTAGTCTTCACGGGGCAAGGCGGCACCACACTAGCCATGGCTGCACATCAGCTTCAGCTTCCCCCTTCGCGATTGCCGATCGCAGTCTGAAATCGACTGGACTCGCGAAGCAAGCGAACCGTACGCGAGACAGCGCACACAACCTGAATTCGACCAGATTAGCGAAACCTTCGCATCTCTTCGGGAATGCAGACATTAGGAATCTGAAGTCACAATACCCATGCCGTACCATACTAAAATCTCCTACTGGCCCTAAAGTTTCAGAGGCTTCAGCCATTCGGGTGCTTGCGTCCTCGTCATCTAGGTTAAAAGGCGCCGCTTCTTCACAGGACGCCACGTCATCACAGCAAGACACGTCAGCATGGCCAGAGCCACCCGTGTTGGGTTTCGACTACCGAAAAGCGACAGCGGAATCGACATACAGCATCGTCTCCGAGCGATACCGGAATTGCTGGATCTAGTCCGACGCGGCGTGCTGGTAGTGGTGCAGCAACCTACAGCAGACAACGACGAAGAGAAACAGGCGGTAGCGAGTCTTCTAACGAATCTGCTAAAAACGAGCCTGCTCGTACCGAGGATGGAATTCCCACGCACCAGGCATCGCATGCGTCGAATCAGCCGGCCGTTATTACTAGCGTTAATGATACCGCTATCAATAGAGTTACTACTAGCGTTACCAGCAGTAACAGTCGCCGGTTGCCTCGCGAAATTTTCATTCTCGGCACGACGCATGTGTCGGAAACGGCTGCTGAGGATGCCATGCGCGTGGTGCGGAGCGTTCAGCCTCAGAACGTGGTGGTGGAGCTGTGCAAAAGCAGGTTGGTGCAATAGCAGTTTACTGTACTGCAGTATTGAGCTTGTATCAAAGCACTTAAGCGAGGACGCTATGTGGGTGGTGCGGAGCGTGCAGCCTCAGAACGTGGTGGTGGAGCTGTGCAAACGCAGGTGCGTGCTCGAGCAGTAGTTGTGTGCATAATGTACTGAGTACATGTGAATCGTGTGTGCATTATGCATAATGCACGAGTCCATAACGAGGACGATCATGTCTCACATGTACGGTGGGACAGCCCATCATTATGTTCGTCTTCCTTTGGACTGCTTGAGAACATCTCAAGCACGAATTCCAATGCTCCCTCTCGTCTCGTCTGGTGCACATGCCCCGTACTGCACAATCCTGGACTGCATCTAACCACTCCTGTAATTTTCATTTTTTTTTTTCTTTTTTTTTTCAGAAAATTTTACCAAAAAACATGGTTCCCCTCTCGTCTGGTGCAGATCTCCCATAATGTACGATCCTGTACCGGAGCCCAACGAGCCCTCAGCGCCAAGCTCTGCCACCACGGGTGGTGCTGCTCCTCCCACCAGCACTGCTGCTGCTTCCAGCAGCAGTAGTGCCTCTCCTCCTGCCCGCGATCTTTTTCTCATGGGGGGGCCAGCCTGCCTCAGACGCTCATGCGCAGCATCCAGCTTGGTTGGTACCTGCTGCCTGCTTAGCAGTCTTCTCCACCTGATGCATTCCCTTTCCATCTTTCCTCCATCCTCTTGCTGCCTCATGAATCCTCCTGGTATTCTTTCTCTTACCCTTTCCATCCACACACTCCGTCTCAACCATAAGCAGCCCTCTTTTCCCGCCGCTTCTCCAAACCCCTCTTTCCTCACCCCCCCACCCCCATTCCAGGAGGCCAGTCCAGTCTGCTACTGCGACTGCTGTGACTCCTACATCTGCTGCATCTGCTGCTCTCCTTCGCCTCTACCAATCCCGCTCTCGTCTTCCCCCAATTCTTGTCAGCCATCGTCCCCTCTCTTCCCCACCCCCTCACCCACATCTCAGGAGGCCAGTCCAGCCTGCTGCTGCGTCTGCTGCTCTCATTCGTTTCCCGCCAGTCTGCCCAAGCAGCGGGCGTGCAACCGGGCCATGAGGTGAGCCAAGTGTAGAGAGGGTGCCTTTGAGACGTCTCAAAAACACCCTCTCCACAAGCAGCGGGCGTGCAACCGGGCCATGAGGTGAGCCAAGTGTAGAGAGGGTGCCTTTGAGACGTCTCAAAAACACCCTCTCCACAAGCAGCGGGCGTGCAACCGGGCCATGAGGTGAGCCAAGCAGTGTATGCATGCAGTTATCATATATGAGGGAGAGCATGTGACTGTAAGAAAGGCGCCTTGAAGTGACTGTAAGAGATGGGCGTGAGGTTCTCTCTTTCGTTTCTCTCGCGCCAGTCTGCTCTTGCAGCAGGCGTAGAACCGGGGCATGAGGTGAGAATAGGGAAGACAGAGGGGGAGAAAGGAAGGGGGAGAAAGGAAGGGGGAGAAAGGAAGGGGGAGAAAGGAAGGGGGATA